TTTTTTTTGAGACAGGGTCTCGTTGTGTATCCTTGGCTAGCCTGGAACTCACTATGTAGACCAGGTTGGTCATGAACTCACAGAGATCTTCCTGCCTCTGCCTCCCAAGTGCTATAGCTAAAGACATGCATCACCACACCTGGCTGACTTTTTATTTTATTCTTTGGTGCTTGGAATGGAGTCTAGTACCTAAAGTGTTCTAGGAAAGCTCTATTCGCTGAGCTGTTTCACTATGTGCATTTTGTTTTTGTTTTTGTTTTGCTTGCATGAGTATATATGTACCACACACATGCCTGATGCCCACAAAGGACGGAAAAAGACATCAGATTCCCTGGAACTGGTAGTTATAGATGGTTATGAGCTGCCGTGTGGCTTCTGGGAGCCGACCTTGGGTCCCCTGGAAGAGTAGCCAGCACTCTTAACTGCTGAACCATCTTTCCAGCCCCTATGTGCAGTTTTTCATTGTTATTCTTAATTACGTATATGTGAATATGTATAGGTATGTATGCATGAAAGATTGCAGGTGCCTTGGAGGCTGGAAGAGGACTTCAGATCCCCTGGGGCTATAGTTACTTGAAGTTGTAGGCTGCTGGATGTGAGTGCTATGGAAACCAAACCCAGTCTCAACAAGAGCAGCAAGTACACCTAACCACTGAGTCATCTCTCAGACCCCTCTATTCTCGGTTCTAAATGCTTTTGAAACCTTTAAGATGATTTTTTCTGCTGCTCAGTTACTGCCTGGTGGTAGTGTGTGAGCTTAGTTACTACATTAGGAGAGTTTGGGGCCACTATTTCTTTAAGTAGGCTTTCTACACTAACCTTTCTCTTCTTTTCATGGGGCTCGGTTACAGAATACCAGAGCTTTAGGGATGTCCCAAGACTCCACTTTGCTAGTTCTCTGTCCTCCAGGTGTACTCTTGTAAGACGCCTGGAAAGCTCAGGCCTCCAGGATCTCAGCCCAGGACCCTGGTCACCCCAATCACCAGGCAGATTCGAAAGCTTGATGCAAACTGCATGAGGCTTTATTGTTGTTTAATGAGCTAACCCCATGTTAGCTCGGGTCTTTCACCCAACCGCCATGGTGGTTGGCTAGGAAAGACAGCTGGAAGCATCTGCGTAGAGATCTTGTAGGGCAGCTTAAGGAGAGTGTCTAGGGGTACACACAGGCTCAGGATTTGTGTGGCTCCAGGCTTGGAGGGCTTGCCCTGTGTTGATTGGTCAACTGGTTGTTATGGCCCATAGGCCCTCCCAGGGTGGTTGCTATGCTCTGTGCATCTTTGCTGTGCACCTGTCCGTAAAGCACACCCAGAGCCGTAAAGCATAGTGCCACCAGCTAACTTCTGATTGGTTCCTTGCCATGAGGCAGGCATCTGACCACTTAGTCACTAAGGCAAGGTCAGACAAGCATGTATTCGGCTGTTATGGCTGCTGAAATGGGGAGCTGGTCCCTTCACTCTGTCCCCATCCAAGGCCGATCCAAACCTCCTTCTCCCATCGGTTAAGATACAATCCAATGTGATTTTCAAATTGAAGAATTCTGTTTGTTTTGAGATTGTGTCTTTGGGTAGTCCAGGCTAGCCTTAGACTTGCTGTACAACTGAGACTGACACTGAAATCTCAATGGTGCTTCCTCCACCTCT